TACTAATTCTTTAGTCTATGTATTGTTTACTGGTACGAACATGGAGGATGCAAACAAAGTCGCATGGTGTCTAATGGCAGTATTAAGTAACGCTCTGTGATAAGACCAACAATTGTTTGGTGTTAAATAGAGAGTGGGACCGGTTATATACTGGGAGGGAGCAATGTGGGCCGGTTATATACTGGGATGGAGGAATGTGGACCGGTTATATACTGGGATGGAGGAATGTGGACCGGTTATATACTGGAATGGAGCAATGTGGGCCGGTTATATACTGGGAGGGAGGAATTGTGGGCCAGTAATATACTATGAGGGAGGAATGTGGACCGGTTATATACTGGGAAGGAGCAATGTGGGCCGGTTATATACTGGGAGGGAGGAATATGGACCGGTTATATACTGGGATGGGGGAATGTGAACCGGTTATATACTGGGAGGGAGGAATATGGGCCGGTTATATACTGGGAGGGAGCAATGTGAACCGGTTATATAATGGGAGGGAGCAATGTGGGCCGGTTATATACTGGGATGGAGGAATGTGGACCGGTTATATACTGGGAGGGAGCAATGTGAACCAGTTATATACTGGGAGGGAGCAATGTGGGCTGGTTATATACTGGGAGGGAGTAATGTGGACCGGTTATATACTGGGAGGGAGCAATGTGGGCCGGTTATATACTGGGAGGGAGCAATGTGGGCCGGTTATATACTGGGAGGGAGCAATGTGGACCGGTTATATACTGGGAGGGAGCAATGTGGGCTGGTTATATACTGGGAGGGAGCAATGTGGGCCAGTTATATACTGGGAGGGAGCAATGTGGGCCGGTTATATACTGGGAGGGAGCAATGTGGACCGGTTATATACTGGGATGGAGGAATGTGGACCGGTTATATACTGGGAGGGAGGAATGTGGGCCGGTTATATACTGGGATGGAGCAATGTGGACCGGTTATATAGTGGAGGTAGGAATGTGAACTGGTTTTATACTGGGAGGGAGCAATGTGGGCCGGTTATATACTGGGAGGGAGCAATGTGGGCCGGTTATATACTGGGAGGGAGGAATGTGGGCCAGTAATATACTGGGATTGCCTGCTGGTGCAGCATAATGGAACAATGAAGCCTGGGAGACCTGATTCCCTACAGTGTAGTGATGCCTATGGCCTGTTAAGAGGGTGTAGTGAGACCTGGTGGTTAGCTGGAGAGAGTGTTGAGTGCTGTATTATGGCAAGAGGGAGCAGAGAGGGCTGGTGATTTAGTAAGAAGAAACTGCGATATGTGTCTCCAAAGACAACAACCAATGATCGATTTTGATGTGTATAAAACAAAACAGCATAGTTAGTTATATTTTCATTCAAGCACTGATATTCCACAGTTATTAATAAAATGGTTGCATTAGATTTCATTCAGCTGCTGTTAAAGCCACATCCATTTGCCTGATCCAGTCAGATGATTAACTCACTCCTACAGATGTATAACCAATACAAGGAAAGCCAGCGGCAGATTAATTGGTGGTGCCAACCATTCTTAGAGCTCTTGCCCAATCAAACTGCAAGGAATTCCCGAAGGCAACAACATAACACATCCTGTATTATTATAATATATAAAGAGCTTAACGACATAAGTTAAATAATTTGTGGAGGCTGGGAAAAAACAAAATATGCAGAAAGAGAGTAAGAATTTTATCAAAGAAAATCTGGCAAATCAAGGTGATCAAGCCATTCCAGAAGGAATACTTTCTTATAACTTCATAAACTATCAAAAGCAAATGTGAAGAGCAACAGGGGAGAGCTGGGATGCGTGGTTTAACAATTGGAACAAATTGCTGCTTAGTGGTGCTCGTGATAGCTGCAGTAAATTCTCCAATATTGAGCACATCTGTTCATAAAGCAGCCGCTACCAAAATTCTACCAAGTAAAAAGAGACAGCAATAGTCAGGCGTTTCCTGCCATCAATGGCGTTCTCAGAACCCAGGGGGATGTCTCGAGGCAAATCTTAAAATCTTGTATTTATGATCGACATTCATGAACTTTGGCCCCCAAAGCATAAGCAGAAGGGCTGGTTTTGATTAGTGCTGGTAATGAAGAAGCACGCCTTTCGCTGTAGGATGCACGAAGCATTTCTGAAGTGAGAAATTAATTGACTCAGCTGCCCATTCAGAACATCATATGGAAGATGTCAAACAGAAGTGGCGTTCCTTGACCCTCACCAACTGTTTGGCTGTTTACTAGGAGGAAGACAGCCTACCCACGTCGCCACAGGAGATGTTTAATTAGAACTTAGGGAGTCATAGTCATTATGGTCTGCTCACTATAACCACGCTATCGAGCGAGGCTGATATAGTCAAACTATCACATCAATTAGCAAAGATAAATACATTTCTGGGTTCCACCAAGTATTTTTAATAGAAACTTTCAAATTTCAGCGGATCTAATAAAAGAGTCAGTAGACATAGACACAAGGGGGTGACATGAGGTAGGAGGATACAGCATTTAGGCTTATCATATTTTGTTTTTGGCTACTTGGGTTTGGAACCTTGCTATTAAACATCAATGCTCCTTTGAAACTGTCACATTATATTGGCATGTGACTCCATCCTCCAGCAACGAACCCACCTCCCTTATGTCTCTGCGTCTCTGCAATGTTCAGTGCTGTTTCATGTCACCGTAGTGACACATATACCAATGACGCAGCTCTAAACAAATGGTCAGGCTGGCATTTGCTCCGAGCCAGGAAGGCCTTGTGTGTGCTCATATTCCATCAATCTTGTGTCATTTAAAACAGCTGTGCAGGATCTTTCAACGCTGCCACCTCCTGTGGTTTTTCACTTTCATATCCTTGTTTCTATAGTTATTTATGATGTCTTGAATCCTTACCTTGACTTGATACCATTACCCTGATGGCTACAAGCTGCACTAACCCTTAATTTGCTTTATGGATGTTTTGCTCTCTCCAGATTAAATTTTTTCTTTGATGCTTCTATTTCCATCTTTTCTCTGGCAATTTCATTCTTAAACACTGCTAATATTAAAGGAACACCATAGGGTCAGGAAAACAAACCTGTATTCCTGACCATATAGAGTTAAAACAACCATCTATCCCTCCTGGTCCCCCTTTTTCCCCTAAATATAGTACAATCTTACTTGTATTCCAGTTTGCAGCTGCTGGCTCTGCCCACGATCTGCTTGCTTGGCTGACATCATCAGAAGTGATTCTCTGAGCCAATCACAATGCTTTTCCATATTATTGACTGAGACTGTCAAAGAGGCAGATCAGGGGCAGAGCCAGCCCGAGCCAAACACAGCCCTGGCCAATCAGCATCTCCTTATAGAGATGCATTGAATCAATGCATCTCTATAAGGAACGTTTAGTGTCTGCATGGAGAAGGTGGAGACACTGAATGTCAGTCACACTCTGCAGCACTGCCCCAGGAAGCACATCTAGTAGCCATCTGAGGAGTGGCCAGTGGAGTATTCACTAGGCTGTAATGTAAACACTGCATTTTCTCTGAAAAGACAGTGTTTACAGCAAAAAGCCTGAAGGGAATGATTCTACTCACCAGAAAAAATACAATAAGCTGTAGTAGTTCTGCTGATTATAGTGTCCCTAGCGGGCATTTTGGGTTTAATTGTCTCGGTGTACCCTGTCCATAAGAAAACAGCTGTCTCAATGTTACATAACTCTCAAGAATCACAACAGATCTAGACCATCTGTGTATATCACAAACCAGCAAATTCTGCCTAGGAAGACCCAGTAGGATAAATCAATAGTGTTTTATTTTGGGGGTGGGGGGGATGAGGGGGTGGGGGGTAGTATGTTTTTTTTTTCTTTTTTGTTTTTTTACACAAGAGGCAGAAAGTTTGAATATCTCAGCAAAAACTGTTCTAATAAGCCCTAGTAAATCCTCATAGAAGACGCGTTTGTTAATAAATTTCTAATCCCTATCAGCTGGCAGTGGTGGGTTCACTCCCTGATCTCTCCACACGTCCTTCACCTCTGCTCCCAGGCAGAGATTTAATAACTTTTGTGTAATTTATGAAGCTTTTGGGAGAAAGAGGATTATCTACGTGGAACAGGTGCATTGTGACCTCCAGAGTCAATTCTCTACTTTCTAGCAATAAAGGGAAGTAGTGTAAATGACAGCAAAAGGGAAGGATCACTCTTGGAGATAGGCAGATATCGAGATACATGTATACGTAAGTGGTGGCACTGATCTAGACTAATGTCGGTTTTGGTGAAGACAAAATTGCTCCTTTCTAAGTCATTTGATATCATTAAAGCCAGTGATAATAAACTGTTCCACCACGGAGGCCAGGTGAGCAGTTTATTTAGATATAGATCCAGAGTGATCCACCATGTTTGGTAGCTATGTTACTAAAGATTAAAGATAATTTGGTAGTGATGGCAAGGTATTTTTGTTGTGCAGTGTTCCAATCACACACAGCAGTATTTATGCGTATTTAGATAATATCTAGTGAGTGATTTATTAGTCACTATATTGGATTTATTAGTCAGACTGGTTGCCCATTACCTGGCTATTTCTAGATCTCACTGACGGTTTACATGGTGCATATTGTGTTCCATTTATAGTATCACTGATTTTAAAAAAAAAATTCTTTATTTTTGCTGTGCCAGAAATAACAAAGCATGTTTATGATGCCACGACTGCAATAACAAGTAAGTTAGCACACATTTTTTTTGTTTAGTAAAACAGTTAGGTGTAACGTGCCTAAGCAAATTACAGTATATAGATAGTCGGCAGATAGTCGGCAGATATTCTCAAGGTTAAAGATAGAGACATGCATATATCAACATGAATTTTAAACAGGGAAATTTCCCAGGGAGGCCCCTGGCTAGTTGCATGTGGTAAAAAGTGTGCCAGGGGTGATACCAGAGATTAGGAAAAAGATGCTGGAGTGTAGTGTCACAGGAGTTCAAGGGTGTATGAGAGTTGTGTCACAGAAGGGCAACAGCTCGTCTTTATGCAGCCCTGGCACCTGTATCAGCCTATGCCGGATAGTGGTATCGCATTGTCCTGTGGCTTTAAGAGGAACGGTGGTCCTCTGAGTCTCTGTGTGCGCCCACAGGTTGTTCCTTGTGACCAGATTGGGGTTATTCCCGGCACCGCAGTTCGTTGATGGGTCTCCGTGATGGGCCGCGGCACGACCCTCTTGGTAGCTTTCCTGCGCCGGATCGGTGAGCTCTTTGCGGTTCGCCGCCATGTTGGGGGCCTGTGTGCTGCTGGAGCCCCAGGCTGCTGCTTGGTGTGTATTTGCCGTGGTGTAGAGCAGCTACCCTGTTGTTTGAAGGGGGGGTGCTGCATCCTGCTCTCCACTCTCTGCCAGAAATCTTCAAAGATTTTGTCCAGTCTGGACAGGACATCTTGCCTTTCCCCTGTGTTGCTGGGGATCCTCGTGGCAGCCGCCATCTTAGGTAAGTCGTCGGGTTGTGTGTGAGCCGGTATGGCTTCACCCCATGGTTCTGTGCTAACAGGGCAGCCTCCCAGGGGTGGACCGGGATCTGTTTTCCAGTAAGTGCCGTCGTGTAGCCCCAGACCAGGAGATCAGCTGCTTCTCCCACCCGGTGCAACCTAGGCCGCATGTTCCAAGACGTGCCACAGATGGGCTCACATCGAATCTTTGGGCCCTGCAGTGTTTCTCAGCTGGAGCAAGTAGTAGGTGAGGCCCTGGATTCGACCCAAATCAAGCTGGGTTAGGCAAAAGTTTGCTTATTAGTCGGTATAGGAGAGGAGCTCCCTCAATACATGTCTCTCCTCCATGCCTGTCAGGCCCCTCCCCCAGTATCACTGATTTTAATACTCTTTCAAGTGTCTGCATTTAAACACTACTCATTGCTTCCAATTAAAAACCTTAACAACTGATCTATGATCGTGACATATGATTTACTACATGGGAGGAATCCAAACCGTTGCAGTTTAATTGCCAAAGTGACAAAACTTAAAACTTTCTCTGGCTTTGGAACTTGGACTGTTAAGGTGCGATACAGCCATTTATCAAGGTGCAAACTAGCTGTCAGTACTGTGAACCCCTGTTCTGACCCTTTGATATTAAGGTCACAACCATCTTCTGGCATCTTGGACCCTTTCAACACCTGGACATGTGGAAACCATTACTTGCTCATCAGACGGCGCCAGAAATCCAATAACGTGCTAACGACAATGTGAGGGTCTCCAGGTGTAGATCAGAGGTACCTGTCAGCAGAGCTTACACTTTGCCCGCCAAGTATGAAAAAAATATGGCGAGCTTCTCACCTGCACCGCAAAATCTGGTTCTTGGGACTTTGTTTCAATACACAATACTTCATCTATGTTGAGAATCTTTACATTGATTGTTAGCGTTAAAGCATTCTTTGACTTATAAAACCCTTCTATGGTCATATAAACATTGAATATACCCGGAATTGCAAATAACTGATAAAAATGACAGGATTTGTTGGCAACATATACGATCAAAAAAGTAGAGTGCATGATTCTAGCAAATCGATTCTATCAAACTTGTTATGAAGCCTACGTTTGCATTCCTGTACGTGTTCTGTGTGTACTATCATTGATCTTGTGTAGACAATAATGCTTTATTGAAATTATTCAAATGCTATATTTTGACTGATTCCTCAGCTGGCTATTAAATGGAAACAGTAACTTTTTTAGAAACTTAACCATTCAAAAAATATTTTGAAAATCAGCTAGAAATTTATTAACATTAACATTTTTTGCATGTGATGGTCTGTCTTCCATTACATGTATTTTATATACGGTATTTAGCATCACAACCAGTGCACATATTGCTTTGGAGCAAAAGAAATAGAAACATTGTTTTTTCTACTCTATGTTCTCTCAGTGCTGACTGACAGGTGCAAAGGGCGGAGTTTATAACAATGAGCGACAAGAAGCCAAAGATGGTGGCAATCAATTTCAATATAGAGATACATATAGTAAAGTGAATTTCTATATTTAATTTATTTTTATTACCTCACAAGTACATATTCGATAAATAAACAAGTGAGGAAACATTACATAAAAAATTCTGGAAATTAAAAATATCATTTAAATTTTAGGCCGCAATCTCCTTATCAATTATAAAAAAAAAAAACGAGAGAAAATCTGTTCCCACTATCAATATCAAGTACACACAAACCGTTAAAAATCTAGAAGATACTTTATTAATTAATCAAGTATAGAAAATAATAACCCCGGCAGTGACTGTCTGACTAAATGAAAGTCAATTTCGGCAGTTCAAGTGTAAATCAGAATAGTAAAAGATCAAAAGGCTAGAATAGTGCCTTCAAGGGCACCTTGTACAGGAAAGTCAGTAAAGAAACAAAGATTCTTGATGCTGTACTATAGCGAACCGAAGCGATTGTAAATAAAGAGATGCTACAAATTATAATACAAATTGCTAAAGATACCCTGATCGGTATAGACGTCTATGTGCCCCAAACGGCTGTCCGCCGTCTAAGTCCCGAAGATGCCTGAATGGCTATATAATCAAGCCCGTGGTAAATGTCTGCTCACAAGGTCAAGGTGCCAGGGGACACAAAAGACAAGACTTTATAGTAACAGAATATCGCACCCTGACGCGCGTTTCGCCTAACTTAAAGGCTCATCAGGGGGAACAGATTCACCGATATCTCAGAGTTTAAAAAGCCCGCCCTAGAATCTGATTGGTCACATCTAGATTGAGGGGATAAGGGCAAGTACGGTGGCCGAGATGACTCAAAAGACTATAATAATAATATGCACAAAATTTAATGCGTGATTACAAAAATTAGAATGTACTTATAAGATAAAGTTTATGGTGTAGCAGTAATGTGCTGTAGTGCCATAATACCTGTCGTTTCAAGTCTGACCAGACAGTACAAGATATAAGAAACAATATTTGACAGACAAAGTATGATGTTAAATCTTCCTATAGTGCCAGTTTGAGAAGTAGTCTCTTATGATAAGAATTAATACCGTAGATCTATATTCATAAAATCCTAATGAAATTGTGAAAAAATTAATTAACTATTTGATGTCTATGTATGATGATCAATTTACTTATGTATGAATGGTGTATAGTTGAACTCCTCAAGACCTGAAGGGGCCAGGGTCTTAAACGAAAAAATCCACTGTGATTCTTTTCTGAGTAAAATTTTGTTAAAGTCACCCTTCCTTGGACTTGGTAGCACTTTCTCGATTGCCTGGAATCTAAGGTTGTCAGGATTGCCATCATGGAAATTGAGAATGTGTCTTGCTACCGGAGTAGGTGTGACAGTATTCTTAACAGAAGTTATATGTTGCAAAATCCTGTGTCTAAACTGCTGAAAAGTTTTACCAATGTATTGAGTTCCACAGCTACAAGTGATCAAATAAACCACTCGCGTAGAACTGCAGTTAACTAAGGCATTCGTCTCAATCCTGATATGGGTTTGAGTGGACGTGGTAAACTTTGAGGGCAAAATGTATTGGCAGGCCTTACAGTGCCCACATTTATAAGTCCCCTTGGTGTTTGATAACCAATTGGTTGATGGTAAAGGGGGTGCCAGATGGCTGTGGACAAGTTGGTCTTGTAAATTGATTGGTCTGCGCGCTGTTAGAGGTGGATGCTCTGGTAACGCATGTTGTAGTTCTGGGTTATGTAGAAGTACTGGCCAATTTTCACTTGTACTGTGCAGATACTTTGTACTGTATTTCATTTATCTTTGACATATTGGTACAATTGTATCTTATGATACTGCACAAGTTAATTTAGTGGGATCTTTTTACAAGCCTAGTTAGGCTACATAGTTGCAATACCTTTGATGCACTAATTCTACTCTAGATATTTATGTATATCGCTACGGCGACACAATTATTTGTGTAATTCTTTATTTTTTCTTACTTTTTATTTTTTTGTACTCCTTACTTGGACTGCCGAAATTGACTTTCGTTTAGTCAGACAGTCACTGCCAGGGTTATTATTTTCTATACTGGTATCCTTGATTAATTAATGTCTGTACTTGATATTGATAGTGGGAACAGATTTTCTATCGTTCTTTTCTTTTGTTCTTATTCTTCCAGGGTTACCCCCTTATCTGTTCCAATAGATTCCAAGATACCGATTTTCTGGCCAAATGTTTCATTAATTCCTTATCAATTATGTTTTGAGTTCAGCTATTTTTGCCTAACATTTTAAACTCAATTTGAATTCCTGACAATTCAAGAAACAAATTAATTTCGTTTATAAACCTCTGTGTGTAAGTGTACGAATGTGTAATGAGATAATAATTAATATCTGATTATCTGTAGATATATTTATAGACTTACGTGTGTAGACTTATGTTTTACGGTGAAATAATTTTTTTATGCTTTATGACTGACAAATTTGGAAGTTGAGGGAATAATTCACTTTTAAAAAAAATGTTGGCCTTACTGTCGTTTTGGTTGTTTCACTTTACATTTGAAGTTGATTTGGATGCAATTAAATATTAAATATAAATAAATATATTTGAAATTTTCCTGGTGATGTATTCAACGGTTAGGAATGTGTCGGAGATTGTTCGTCCTTTGTCACCTGTCTAATTCTCATCTCTTTCTGATTCTCTCACACATTTTTATCTAATTTCCTAGAGACATCTGGTTTTTCCTTTTGGTTTTAAATAAAAAAAAAAAAAGAGGGAAACTTTCTCCTCGAAGCAGGTGAACAGAGCACTGGGGACCTCTTCTGTGACGTTCACACATGTCCCTGCCTGTTAAACGCCCGATTTCATGCTTCTAAATGAATCTGAATGACATTCCACATGATGGCTTCATGCACGAGAGCAGAGCACAGCTATATATATATATATATATATATATATATATATATATATACGGATTTCTGGGACAGCTTACTGCTCTGCAGCGGGAAAGTTACATGAGATTGGGGTGCAATTGTTCATAATATATATCCCCCAAATGGGTACGATATGCCTTTTTAAAAAATTTGCATATTCAGGGAAGCTCTAGCTCCTGTTTAGGGTCAGATCCAGAGCCTGATCTCGGGAGGGGCACTTGTAGATTATTTAAAGAAATAATACAGACACAATAACTACTACAGCTCTGTGTAGTGGTTATAGTGCCAGGAGTGTCGGGACCCCCTCTCAGAGTAAGTAGTCAATCCGTTTAAGAACAGTTTGACAACTTACCTGGGGTCTGCTTGGATATGGGGCTGTAGTAGGGCATAGAGGCAGAGGTGTGTGTGTGAGTGGTGCAATGTGTGGGGTGTGTAGTGTGTGTGAAAGGTGCAGTGTGAGTGTTACAATGTGTGTGAGGGGTGCAGTGTGAGTGTGTCTGAAGAGTGCAGTGTGTGTGTGTGTGTGAGGGGGACAGTGTGTGGATGGTGCAGTGTGTGTGTGTGAAGGTTGCAGTGTGAGGGAGCAGTGTATGTCAGGAGTGCAGTGTGAGGGGGAAGCGTATGTATGGGGCTTGCAGTGTGTGTGTGATAGGTGTAGTTTGTGTGTATGAGGGGCACTGTTTGTGTGAGTGGTGCAGTGTGTGTATGTATGGTTTGGGGCAGATCAAAGCAAATATAACTTTTTTATAATGTTTTTTTGTTTAATAAAAAATAAATATATTGTATATCCCCCCTCCCTCCCTACCTGTGGCCAAGGAGGGGGAGACATTGCATTCCATCCCTGGTGGTCCAGTGGATAAGCCCTGATGGTCCCAGTGGCAAGAGTAGCCTGCAGCTGGTGAGGCTAGAGTTCACTTTCGCAACACTACGGGTTCGCGAGAGGAGAACCCGGCAGTCCTCTCTCCCTCCCCTGCCTGCTGCCAGCAGAGTGCCTGTGTGCCAAGGAGGGAGATCATTGATCTCCCCTCTGGTCCGTGAAGGCAAACAGCAGGGCCGGCGCTTGGATATCGCCGGCACTGCATGTGCTGGCAGGGGAGAGGCTCGGCCTGCTCTGTTTTCTCGGGGGGAGGGGGTGGATATTAGATAAGTTTACAGATAGATATATAGACCGATACATTAACCAGTGTTCCTATTCATCTACTGTAGATGAATAGATGCACAGATGGGTTAATACATCAATAGATAGAAATAGATACATTCATAGATGAGTCCATGGTAGATGGCTGAATTGATTGGTCAATACACAGACATTCAATGTATAGACAATGTCATCAAGGATGTCCATCACAGCAGGTTTCAGAGATCAAGTCACTTGGTACAAATGGTTCTTACATTAAATAGACACAACAAACCTTCCACTAACAATGATAGAACTTCAATAGAATAAGTAGATGGCTCCTCAGTTACTTTGGTGGCTTTTGATTGGTATGGATATCTCACATTCACAAAAGGTGGCCCTCCCATCGGTATGACCCTTCCATTAACACAAGCAGATAGTCGATTAGCATAGATGGATTTCCTCTTAACATAGCCAAGTCTGCCTGTCTAGAATGCCGTCACTTTATTATACACAATACTCCAGTTGCCTGAACAAGGGGATCAATTCTTCCCTTTGATCCCTTTGTATGACTTATTTATTTACTTATTTTGCAGGTACTTTCAAACCAGTGGTTCTTAAAGGGTTAATCCAAGCATCATAGCCACTACAGCCTGCTGTAAAATTAGCCTCTTCCTAGTGTCAAAGGAGTCTGCATTACAATGGAGAATGTAAAGTGTTATGTTATACCCATATTTAAGGGTAGCACATGAAAAGGGTTGCCCTGTAGTATGTAAAATTCAGCAGTACTTGTATATGATTAAGTAATTAGGCAATGAAGGATCCTGTGCAACACATACTGCAGGGCAACCCTTTTCATAAATCATTGCATTGCGTGCTGTTCGAAACGTTGCCATGGCAACCCCCAGCAATGTTCTGACTGCTGCAGCGCATGAGTGTCTCCTGGGCCCCCTCTTTATATACTGCAGCACAGGGACAGCAAGTACATATATATAGCAGTACTTGGGTGTAATGTCCGAGTACACATGGCACCCCTGGCTGTCCAGACCCCATACAGATGTGCTGACTGTAACCCCTTTATGGCAACCATGGAGATGGTAACCATAGTCATGAAGGAATGGCAATGTTTTCTTCGCAGGGTTAATAAACCAATAGTGGCTGTCAAGAAGAAAGTTAAACTCGGATATAGCTTAAATAACAATCACTGGCCTCCCAATGCATTGGATTGGCCGCGTCATTAGTGTTGAAGAGGCGGAGTGCAGCATAGAGAGCAGGGAGTTGCGGGATGTAAGGTAAATAAAATTATCATTAAAACCCCTGCAAAGGGGGAGGGGTGGACACCTAGATAGGTAAGTGAATAATACCACCTATTTGTATTCCTAATGCGTTAAAGTGTTCTTTAAGAGACACTATTCTAAGCTATACTGCAACTTTGTTCAAAATTGGATCCACAGAGTTCATTTTTATTTTTACATTTTTGTTTCTTCCTTTATAGAATTCTGATATAATTCCATAAAATGTCAGCACTGGTAGCAGATTCCATGGACACTTTACCCGAGGTAGTTTAGCATGTCACAACTGGGGTCTACGATTTTACCACAGGGAGACAGTGATGCTATACATAATGATGCACCTTCTCCAGCAAATTCATATGACCAACATTGCTCATCACAATCTTTTATTCCTGTCTACGGATGGAGACAGTGTCTGCACAGACTTCCAGTAATACACACCCAGACACGCACACACACATACACACATACACACTGCCAGACACACCCAGACATTTCTAGATACACAAACGTACACACACTTCCAGACACACACAGTCATTTCAAGATACAGACACACACCCACATATACACTCCCAGACACACACACACTCTCAGACACACATACATACACACTCCCAGACACACACACATACACACGCCCAGACACACACAGACAATTCAAGATACACACACACCCACATATACACTCCCAGACACACACACATACACACTCCCAGACACACTCAGACATTTCCAGATACACACTCCCAAACACGCACACATTTCGAGATACACTCTCAGACACACACATGCGCACACACACATTTCCAGATACACACTCTTAGACACAGACACATGCACAGTTCTTGTTGAAGTGAATAAACAACTGACAAAAAATTTCAGGGAAGTGAGGTCAATTTAAAATATGATTACAAATCATAAAAACTATTTGGTTATAGTTAGATAATTGTAAAATTCTGTATGTTTTCGTATATTTACAGGGATATTTACAAAGGTGTAAACTGTCAGGAATTCAATGTGAATACCACATTATAGGCCACAATAGCCGAACTTGAAAAGTTCCCAAAGTAAATATGGTTTCAGTTTGGCTGTTTTGGCGTGAAAGTTTCAATTCACTTTGAATTAATAACAATTCACACCTTGTTAAATAGATCTCTGAATGTGCAGAATGTACAAGTGAAAGGATGGAAAGGTTCCATTCACTTGCTGTCTGTATTCAGTCACTAGAGGGCAGTGTTGTCTATTATCTTGTTTATTTTAAGAACCTTGTGAGGTACTTGAGACAATTCAGCTTTATAATGTTAACTAGATAATTGTTGTACATTTTGAAAACCTATCAAGCGGTGTATGCAGACTGTCAGCACAATGTAGATACACATCAATATAAACTCCAGATCATACTTAATGTGGCAGATTGTTTCTAAATGGATCTAACAGGGTGTCTAACATCTAACTGCGCAGGGTGTATTTAGAGAGGAGCTGTTACTGGTCAGATAGTGATCCTGAAAATAAAGAACGTCTAGCACAGAGGTAGGCATCTTTTGACACTCCAGATGTTGTGGACTACATCTCCCATAATGCTATTAAAACCATAATGCTGGCAAAGCATCAAGGGAGATGTAGCCCACAATGTCTGGAGTACAGAATGTTGCTTACCCCTGGAACTGCTGATTCTGGTGCATGCACAGTTGCACCATAAAAATTCCCTGCCCTGATACTGCGCATGCGCAGTATAGCGTTATTATGACATGCTTCCCGGACTCACATGCTGGTGGGGTGCATGTTAGCACAACATAAATTTAAAAGTAAATACCAGTATGGAAACTCATCCCCCCCCTTCAAAAAAGAAAAAGATTAGAAATTTAAATGTGACATTCCTGGAGGCATTATATCTACTATGATGTATTGCAGTGGTTATGGTGCTAGTGCTACAGGCAATAAACCATTGTCGAATCATGTAACAAAAATAATTTCTCTGGATTTCCCTGATTACCTAACCCCACCCCCAATGCCTGAGACAGCATATTGAGGAATGTACATGTCCTCATTATCTATACAAAATATTTTATTTAAGCAAACTGCTTTTAACCCATTTCTGTGCACTGCGTTAACAGAAGCTGCCCAGTGGTGAGTGTCCATGTTTGTGAATGAGGATGGCTTGTGTGTAGTGTGTGAATGTATTTTTTGTCCATCCTTGTCAGTACCTGATTTTCTTCCCAGCTTGTTTATCTCTCTCCTTTAACCGTAAAAGCATTTCTCCTTTAGGCATCCGTTTTGCCCATGTCTGCCCATTTATATGCTCCATTCCTTTTATACTACTGTCTTCAACTGAAGTCTACAACATCTAGGGAAATATAGTGCACAAACATAATGGAGACTGCAATGATGGTTATCCTATAGATGTTCCTGGGTATATTTTCAGTGCTCAGCCTGATTAAATATAGGAGGTATGGACAGGGCTACTTCTTACTGTCCAGCACTGTCCATACTTGCTCTATCCGTAACAGTCATATAATTAACTCCTTCCCCAACCATGTCCTTCCTTCTCCAGGTAAGCCTGTATCCTCCTTAGACAACCAAGTCCATGCATGTTTTCTTCCTCATCGATACCCTTAACAGCTTCCTTCTCCTGCTGTACCCACACCAGAATCTTTAACCTTCAGTAACCACACCAGGATCTTTAACCTTCCAAACCCACACCAGGATCTTTAACCATCAAATCCCAGACCAAGATCTTTAACCTTCAAATCCCACACCAGGATCTTTAACCTTCAGTAACCACACCAGGATCTTTAACTTTCCAAACTCACACCACAATCTCTAACCTTCCATAACCACACCAGGATCTTTAACCTTCAAACCCACACCAAGATCTTTAACCTTCCATACCAACACCACAATCTCTAACCTTCCATACCAACACCAGGATCTTTAACTTTCCAAACCCACACCAGGATCTTTAACCATCAAATCCCACACCAAGATCTTTAACCTTCCAAACCCATATTAGGACCTTTAACCTTCCATACCCACACCAGGATCTTTAACCTTCAGTAGCCACACCAGGATCTTTAACCTTCCACACCCACACCAGGATCTCTAACCTTCCAAACCCACACCCATATTTTTAACCTTCTATAATCACACCAGGGTCTTTAACCTTCCATACACAAACAGGATCTTTGACCTTCCAAATCCACACCAGGATGTTTAACCTTCTTAACCCACACCGGGGTCCTTAACTCACCAAACCCATACCAGGTTTCATACCTTGCCATACCCATACTGGGTTTTGTCCTTAGACGTATATATATATTGGCTTTCTTACCCTGCTATATCCGCACTGGGGTCCATCACCAGACTTACTCATATTGGGCTCCTTACCCTGCCATAGCTACACTGGATCCCGTCTACAGCCATACTCACACTGGATTGCATCATGAACCATAACTATTCTTGGTTCTTTAATTTGTTAAAACCCATGCAGGGTTCCTTCCCCAGACATACTTTGACCTGATTAACCCCCCAGCTATACCCGCTTGCTGCTCCTCTTCCTAATCATGCTCAAATTCCCTCATTCTCCCTCCCCAGCCATGGCCATACTTCCTTTTCTCTCCACGTTCTTCTCTATACCCCTTTACCCACCTCCACAATCATGCGTTGCTAGAAGGATACATTGTTGATACATATTCTCATAAAAAGCTTGAGTTATGGGGCGGAGCCTAGCGGTGAACCTGGGCGGTCGAATTGCTCGCTGTGCTCCGCTCAAACATACTGAAAACGGCCAAAATTGCAGAGAACGAGACCCACAAAACCACCGGAATTCAATTTCCAGACCACAAGATCAAGTATGGGCCGTAAGAATAAAAAAGCCAAACTGGACAAGAGCCCACTGGGCCGAGACATTTGGGACCTGTTCCGGAGCTCGCAGAGGGCCGCCTGGGACAAAATGGCGCTGGAGGAAGACGGCACCTCATACTCCTCAGACGACATGGCCATAGCCCCAACGGACAGACCAGCTCAGACGGCGAAGCAAGGCCCCACTCCTCTAGAGGCCACTACTGGCAGAGAACCGGTCACAGCAACGCAGCTAAAGGAGATGCTAGCGGAACTCCGAGCGAATCTAGAGGGAGACTTGGCCCCCCTCAGAAAGGCCTTTGAACACATGACCGCTCAACTGGTCCAACAAGAGACTGTCCAACGCAAGCATGAGAGCCGGATTACTGTGGTGGAGAGGGGCCTTGCCGCCCTGGAACAGCATCGACTGCAGATTGACCGCAGGCTGGATGTCCTGAAGGATCAGAGGTGCAGGTACAATCTGAAACTCAGGGGAGTGCCGGAGACGGTGGATCTGCCGGACTTACCACATTTCAGCAGGCCAAAAATCTGAGGCTGGACGGCATGTTCCACCTCCCAAAACCAACTAATGCACCAGCGACCGCCGCCCCAGACATCATCCTCCGTTTCAGCTCCCTACAGGACAAAGCCACACTACAGGCCGCGGTGAGGGGGAAGACACCCATTACCTTTGAGGGTGCCACGCTGCTTCTCTTCCCGGATATTTCACGAAACACACTCCTGTGGTGCCAATCCCTACGACCACTACTCCAGTGCCTCCGTGATAAAGAGGTGCCCTACAGATGGGGCCCCTCCCGCACGGTCCTTATAACGGCCCAAGACACCACCCATCGAGCAGAGACTTAACAAGAACTGAAGGGCCACCTGCAGACGCTGTAAAATCCCACTGAACAACGCACAGGTGGACCTGGCCGCGAACAGAGACTTTATACCACGGGCGGCGAGGCCCTCCTCGTCCACTGGAGCAGAGACCTGAATGAGGTAATGTCTGGCTCCGGCGGACACAGTGCCCATACCTGAGACCTCCCACTGAACCAGGGACTTGCCCGGGAGGTCAGCCTCATCATACTTACTGATCCCAGGACTTTAAGCTGGACTTTTACTCCAATATAACTGGTGAACCCTCGTTGATAAATGTTAATGTTATGATTTTATTTCTAAACTACTGTTGCTTTATACCACTACTGCTGCCTCCTACAGCTCACGCTCCTAGCTGGAGGAGATACAGCATGGAAAAATCACTTTACAGACCCGCTTAGACCGGGATCCACACATCAGGCCCAACCACTCCACATGCACACGCATGGCAGACCTCACACACAAATACTGTCCAGACACCCACTTACAGATTACGCAACTGGCAAACTCTCCCCCCCACTCCCCTCCCTAACTCACACGGACGCACAGACCGCACGACCATCCACAGTGGGAAGGGACATACACCCAAGCCATGGGTCTACTTACCACCCGAACAACGCTCACGATGCGCAACCCTGTGGCAACCCCACTCGCATGTCACCCCGTCAGGCTTCCAACACAAAATAAAAACACCTCAACTCACAGGCAACACAACACAATGCACAAACTTCTTATAATGCATACTTACAGCCTCAAAGTACTGTTTATGTGATACCTTTCTAAAATGTACGCCTTACAACCTACTGTTGATGCCTTATGTGAGTTGAGAAAAAAAAAGAATAAAAAAAAAAAAAGCTTGAGTTACAACTCTTACATACTGCAGCAGGCATGCATGCTAACCAAACAACTACATCAGCTATCCCAAACAAGTCTCATTAATTTGGGTAATAGCTTCTGATCCAGACAATACAATAACATAATATTATAAAATCTCTGGGCATTCTCAGCAACGAAGGGGATTGAGTAGATAAATTGGGTTCCTTGTTCTCTGTATCTAATAGACGGGTGTAACGTGGTTTCGTGGCCATTCTTGAACAATGCATGGCTGGCTTTCCAAACTCCCCTCTGCTGGATGCACCAAGTTCCTCTTGGCCTGTCTCAGGGGTATGACAGAGGCGCGTTCCTCATTTGTAGACGGCTGCGTTCAGAAAGCTGCTGCAATAAAGTTATTTCTGACAGTTGTTCATGAGTTCATCGCATGGAAGGGTTCACCTGCAGCTGTCGCTCGCCCCATTTTCAAAACCTGTTAACCCCTGGGCTACTGCCCAGAAGGAGGCTTTGCCACTTAGCCAAATGGTTACTCTGCTTAACTGAAAGAAAAGACAGAACTTGGGTTTGCCTGAATATCAGGTGCCTGGCTCACCATGAGCTTGTCTTTGTATGAAGCTTTGCTAGTCCAGTTCAGGCTGCCAACTCTCATGTAGAGTCTGTCTGCTGCATAGCGATTAAAAGGCCCAAACTCTGTCCGTCTGTATGTCTAACACAGCCAGGATATAAACTGGTCTTTCACTCTGTTCTTTGCGTACGCATGTACTGGATTGATACATCTCCTGAAAAAAAAAAAAAATAAACATAATGTTTTACTAAACTCTCGGTTATCCACTAAACTACAGATCGTAGCAAATTGAAATCCAAACAGCAAAATTCTGAATAAATTAGCTATACGGTGTCTATGGCCAATCAGAATGTTGCTCAGAATGTTTGTGATTGAGTCTACACAAAGGCAAAGCACTTTGGGTAATCATTTTGAAAACATGGGCTGACATAGAAAGGCACAAGAACTGTGCCAGGTGTGTGCGCCATAGTGTGTCCCCCTATTAGTTTCATACATTTTTTAGTTTTTTATTAACTGATGGAAGATAATGCATGAAAACATAAGTAAAACGCATGAAAGCTGGGAGTTTGTCTGGTGAAGTAAAAAAATATATATTTTCAACCTAAGATTTTAAGTTTGTACTTTTTAGGTACAAATAAATGTTTTATTTGCTGGTTTACCTAAAATACACATTTTTAATGATTTAATAACGAATACATATTTGCCTTTCATGAATTAAAATATCAATATGACACACTTCTTAAAGGGACACTCCACTGCGCCCCCAAAAAACAACGATTATTAATATAGAACCCTAAAAATGACTGCAGTCAAGATAGAAAACATAAGAAAAAAACCCTTGAAATAAGAAGCCAGATGTTTTCTTTCTAGCGGCAGCGCGTTCTACGTTCCTGCCATTGTCTTAATAAAACCAGAGCAAGTGCAGAGCTCTGGACAATTGTGGACCCGATAAGGAAGAAGAAAGGTGCATTGACACACTGGGTTCTTTATCAGCACAATGATAGCAGAACAGACCTCGCACCCACTGCTCCATTCTTCATGGCTTCCTATCCCCTTATCACAACTCACCTTGTATGCTAGAAAAACGATAACTACCAGCTTGGAAAGGGAGCGTTTTAAGATTTAAGACAGGAATGTCATCTGCAAACTAATCAACAATTAAAGGGAAATTGTCCAAAAAATGCATTTAATAAAGACATATAAATCATTGTTGCAAAAAATATAAATTTGCACTAATATTTTTATAAACCCTAAAAATATCATTTTCATTACCTGAAGATCTGGCCTCTGCAGCTAGTGAACATCCACCCCCTTTTTAATAGGCACTTACTTCCTTAGTTTGTGTTGGGCATTGTCCAATCAAATGCTTCTCATAGAGGCATTGAGGACCATGCTCTAGTCCACAGGTCCTCGAAGAGATGTCTGGTTTTATTGAGATTTAATCCATACTTTAGGGCTATATTAGTTCAAGTGCCAATTTTAAGCATTACTTTGTATGTGTCCATTAAAATGGTGACTTGCTATACAAAGCTATTTTGGACTAAGTTCCTTATCATACTCAGCCAACCATTGGGCAGCGTGGTTCGAACTTATAAGCCACATACGCTATTTATCAGGTGCTTATTTCTCAATCCCATTACATTAGATGTATATTTTAATTCCCATAAGCCTCAGCCAGAATCTCACAGAGCATGATAGGAGATGTAGCCCAACAGATGTGATGGGAGATAAATTCCTGAATTAAGTAACTTGTGTTTTATCTGTCTATTTACCTCTGCATGTAGGAAGGGCAGAAGTAAAAAACCAGAACCGATTTATGTTTTTCTTTATAAATGCGTGATTTACAGAGTTGAATTGTGTCAGAGCTGGGCAGTAGAAGCTTTGACATTGTGTAACTCACACAGAATATGCAGTCTGCCCAAAACATCTGGGGTTGGCATGCTGGGTGTGCTGACAACAAACGCAATAGTTGCACAAAGCTGATATTGTCAGCCTGCAAGAGAGTATTCCAGCTCCGGGAATTCATTTCTAGAAAGAAAAACTGCAGTGACAGGGCCCATGCACCATAACCACTTCAGTAAGACTATACTACTAAGCAGGGCCAGATTAAGGGCCTGGAGCTGACAATTATGATGGGCCTAATTACAGAATCTTATCGACCAAAAACACTGAAACAACCATACCTCCCAAGCGTCATGTATCTGATGGAGATGGTGTTGGAGGGAAAGCATGCAGCCATACGAAAACACATACTCTACGCTAATCTCTATCTAATTTATGCTTTCATCTTTCAAGTAAATCCATACCTCCTAACAGCAGTGTCCAGTGAAGCAGGAAGTTAATGGGCAAGGTAAAAGGGTGTGCCACTGACGCAAACCACGTGACCAGACCTGCCAAAAGGGGTGAACATGCCCAAAAAGGGGGCATGATTGTCCAAAGAATTGGAAGGCCAGCCTGGCATGAATGCATGTCAGGCTGCCTGTCAATCCTGTCCAACTAAGGACATACTATGCAGGCAGCACCCTGAGCTTGACATAAATGCATCAAATGATGCGCCTACTCCACACTTTCTAAGGACTGTCCCCTAGCACTCACATGTCCACTTGTCTCCTTATCGTCTTACTAGCAGGCAGAATTCCTGGTATATAGTCTGGGATAGAGTAAAGCTTTATGTAGTGAGTGTAGTGAATGTAGTGTGTGTAGAAGAAAGGGGACATGCCACAGTGTTAGAGAAACCAAAGTCTTCATTACCTAAACTAATTTTATTGTCAGCCAGTCCACACAAGTTTTGTTGCCATACATCCCTCTTAAGCTTCCAAACTTAAAGGGACACTATAGTCACCAGAACAACTACAGCTTATTGTATTTGTTCTGGTAAGTAGAATCATTCCCTTCAAGCTTTTTGCAGTAAACACTGTCTTTTCAGAGAAAATAACTCAACTGGCCACTCCTTAGATGGCTGTAAGAGGTGCTTCCTGGGGCAGTACTGCCTAGTGTGCAGCACTGCCATTCAGTGTCTCCACCCTCTGCATGCAGACACTGAACTTTCCTCATAGAGATTCATTGATTCAATTTATCTTTATGAGGATATGCTGATTGGCCAGGGCTATGTTTGACTTGTGCTGGCTCTGCCCCTGATCTTCCTAGTTTACAGTCTCAGCCAATCCTATGGGGAAGCATTGTAATTTGCTCAGACCATCACTTCTGATTATGTCAGCAGACAGAGTCAGTTCAGAGGCAGCGCCAGCAGCTGCAGACTTGAATATAAGTAAGATTTTACTATATTTAGGGAGGTAAGAGAGGGCCTGAAGGTGTTTTTTACATAATAGGGTCAGAAATACATGATTGTATTCCTGACCGTATAGTGTTCCTTTAAGCAAGAGTATGTGAAGAGTAGTTAGGGTTGCCAACTTTCTTGGAAAAAAATACCAGCCTTTGTATAATTAGTTCACATTCACATGATGTAAATCACAATGAGGGACATAAGAGAAAATTCAGTAAAATCACCAACAAACTACTCACAGTATGAGTCTGCTGTATAGATGAATTGCTCCCAGTGTCTCCCTGTCTACCAGTGTCTCAGTCTCGCAAGTCTCCCCATTTCTCAGTGTGACCTGGGAACACTGGGAGACACAGGGGCACTGAGACACTACGGGACACTGGGAGACATGGGGGCACTTGTGAATACAGACATGGGGACACTGGGAGAAATGGGGACACCGAGAAACTAGGGTCACAGTGTCAGTGTCCCCATGTCGCCCAGACCCTAGTCTCCCAGTGTCCCCATGTCTCAGTGTGTGTCCATGTCACTAGGATACTAGGGGACACAGTGAGACATGGGGACACAGAGACCTGGGAACACTGGGAGACACAGGGGCACTGAGACACTTCGGGACACTGGGAGACATAGGGGCACTTGTGAATACAGACATGGGGACACTGGGAGAAATGGGGACACCGAGAAACTAGGGACACAGAGACATGGGGACACTGAAACATTTGGGGACACTAAGTCACTAGGGACACTAAAAGACATGGGAACACAAACACTGGAAAACTAGGGTACACTGGAAGACTAGGGGACACTGGGAGACATGGGGACACTGGAAGACATGGGGACACTGAGACAATAGAGACACTGGCTGGAAGACAGTCACTTGGGGACACTGGGAGACATGGGGACACTTGTGGACATAGACATGGGGACACTGTGAGACAAGGGCACTCTGAGTCACTAGGGACACAGAAACTGGGAGACTAGGGAAAACTGGGAGCCGTGTGGACACTGAGCCACTAGGGACACTGGCTGGGGGACATGGGGACACTAGGAGACATGGGACAGTGTCCCCAGGTCTCCCAGTGTCCCCATGTCTCCCTGCTGCCTTTCCCCCCATCCCTTACCTACCTGAGCTGTAGAGCTGTTGTCTGGACTCTCTGTGCTGTGTAGCTGCTCCCCCATGGATCAGTGAGTAGTAGAGAGAGGCAGGGATATGCTATAACTTCCTATCCCTACCTCTCTCCACACACAGTGACCCCTACTGGCCAGTGCTGGTATTGCATAGTAATCTCAGTTTATACTGAGAAAAATAACTGCATTTGTATTGCCGGTATTACTGCGATACCGGCACGGCCAGGCAGCCTCAAATACCGGCTGTGCCAGTAAAATACCAGTATGTGGCAAACCTAAGAGTAGTGTGTAAAAAAAAAAAAGTTTAATTGGGCCTGGGCCTGGAGCTGCAGCTCCATCAGCCCCTATGTTAATCCGGCCCTGCTACTAAGACTACATACTAGACTACAACTTCCATCATTTTCTGAAAGTGTTACAACTATTATAATTATGAAAGTTAGAACAACGGCCTATATGAGCGGTGCAGTTGACATTCATGATTTAGG